TATAGTTCAGGCAGGGATTGTTGCGGGTGGTTATCTAAGCCCAGGTGCGAAGGAGAACTGCATGGGCTAGTTCGGATGGAGCCACCGCCGCTATTGTTGCTTGGCAATTCCAATTGTAAAAGTGCTTGCCGCCTTAAGGGGGGTACTATGATATTAGCAGACAGGCGCGGCTTGTCGAAGAAATGGGGCCGTAAGCACCGCCAAATAACTGTGTTGACTCGCCTGCTTTGAGCGTTTTGTAAGGGTTGGCATGGTGACACCTGCCAGTACCATGGTTGTACCCTCGCCAGCGGGGCGTTGTCTCCTTCGCAAAGAACGACAAGAAAGGGAAGGTCTCAAAAAGATGCTAACACTCATCATCGGAAACAATGCCCGGTCCAAAGGCGACAACTAAGCGCAATATCATTAAAACGTGCACAAGAGAAGAGAGGAAGGGCTGTGTGTGCAAAGATGCAATCGGTGCCGAGTTCCGTGTGTCGATTGATTGGAAACAATGGCTGGTTTCAATGGCGACATTTAACTGCAGTATTATGAAAACGTGCACGAGAGACGAGAGTAAGGGCTGTGTGTGCAAAGACCGCAATCGGTGCCGAGTTCTGTGTGTCAACTGTGATCCTCGCGATACCGATCAAACATGATGCAACACACCGAAGATTACCTGTCCCTCCGTGTGACTACGTTTTTTCCTCGGCCCGAACCAAACGCGTCAAAATCCGTTCTTGACAAGGGGTTTGGGACCTTCTGAACGGTAACAACGGAACGCGACGAAAAGCTTGCTTCGAGCTACGTTCGGGGTCATTCTCACAGTAACAACGAAATGCGACAAGAGCGTTGCTTCGAGATACGCAATGCCACACGGCCTTACCCTCCGGAAGTACAAGAAGAACAGCAAACGACGGCATCCGAACCGTTGTAAGCGGTGAAGGATAGGATCATACCATTCCAGGTCTCCTTCAGCATCTTGCTCCTCCTCTGTGGAGTGTTTCGGGAAGACAGCGTGATGAACGTAATTTGTCTCACGGCTGCGGCGTACTGTGTTTTGCAACGGGATGAAAGGGGCCAAGATATGGTACTGGAATGAATACAGTTGTCACGATTGCGAGAAACAAAGGCGTTGGTCATAGACTACGATGTTATTTTCATCTTGGCGTAGACTGAAACTCGGGTGCTGCTGCTACGCGTACAGCGCGGCTTGGGTTCACCCTACCTCCTCGACTCCCACACACCACCATCTATTTCAGGAAGCGTGTGATATCAACATCAAAGCGCCGGCAACACCTACGGACGCCGTTGGTGCGATCTCACGTTAATACTTGCCATCATGGAAACATCACGCCGCAGTCTTGGCAATCACAGAAAAAGATCGTCACAAACTCGCACCTCTGTGTCAACTGCTGTGCTTCCAACTCCTTTCGGCCGACACCGATTCCTCAACCTACAAAAGCATGTGGTTGGCAGGATGAATACGATGCATGCCAATAGTCCTTCAATTGCATGCATAGACGACTATTGTGCCCGGAATACCTACAAGAACAGAAGGCTCCCTGTCGAGTTGAGTTGTCGAATCCGAAGGCATTGAAGCGCGAGTGCCCAACCCGAAAAGGCTTGGTGCCATGGGAGACCCGTCCTCTCCAGGGAAAACGCGCAATTTTCATTTATCTCTCCGTCCACAGAAGGAGCGAGCATTTCACATACCATCTATTTCCCACTGTTGAGAGTCCTACAGTACCGGGGCTAGAAATCCGTTAGTGTTGTAAGTCACAAGGCGCGCGTTCAGAGCTGGAGCAAAAAAAAGCCATAGAGCACCCGAGAATGACTTCGTCTGTGAAAAGAGTCACGCTTTTACTATTGTGATCTCCAGGCACTCGTCTCTAAAGCGAACCCCGGTTTGGCCAATATTCCCCAACAAGGGAACACACGAAAAGGAGATCTACTCGGAAGGCTGGAGAGCGCCGATGTCGAGCACGCTTACGGATGAAGTCACGGTCGGAGACATTGTCGCCGCTCTCTGCTCCCTCTTCTGTAATGCCGCCGCCGCCGGAGACGGGGACGGCGACGACAACAACATTCTTGACGATTTTCTCGGGACTTTCCCCACGCTCCGCGCCGCTTCCTCATCCCCTCCACCTTCTCTTGATGCTCTTTGCAGCGGCCGCTGCTGCTGCTGCTGTTGGCTTTGCTGTTGGCTGTCCGTTGAACTGTGTGGCGCTTCTTCACCGGTGGTGTCAACTGTCATATCGCTGCCGCCGCCTCCTTGAGAAATTCTTCGCTCTTCGTGGTCCCCGCTCTCGCCCGTTTCCCTTCCCGCCCCCGTTTCCGCCACGGCTTGCTCTTGTTGCCGTTGCTGCTGCTGCTGCTGCTGCTGTTGAATACGAGTGGGGTTATCTGCCAGCAACCCCGCATAGCCGCCTGGCACAACCTTTTGCTGGACCCTCGCCATCGCTGGAGGGTCGACCCTTTTTTCTGCTGCGACATTGCCGCGAAAAACTTCGCCAAGTAGACCCAATAACGGCCCAACACCACCCGCGGCGGGAGTTGAAGCAGCGTCCCCGGCCCCACCTCCAACGGAAGGGCACCCAACTGAATAGTCGGCTCCTCTCCCGCTGCTCTTCTTCCAGCTCCCCGTTCCTACGCCGGCCGCCTGCCGTGAGTTAAAAACGGTCTTTAAAAACGCCTCCTTTTCTCGTCGGCGTGCCCGCTTGGCCTCCGCCACTCCCCCCTCAGGATACACGTGCTGCTCCAGGAAGGGGATGATCTCGCCAGAAGCGAACTGCCTCCGGCCGTCGCGCACGGGGGGGAGCTGTTTGACCCAAGGCGGCGCCGATGGGGATGGGAGGGATGATGAGCAGGAGGAGTGGTGTGCGATGGGCGGTTTTGTTTTCCTGTTGAGGGGGGGGGCAGTCAGACCCCGGTCGCGGCACGGAGAGGGAGATAGGGGGAGAGAGAGAGGCACACATAGAGACAGAGAGAGAGATAGAGACAGACAGAGAGAGAGGCAGAGAGATAGAGGCAGAGAGCGAGACAGACAGACAGAGCAAAGAGAGAGATAGATAGAGGCAGACAGACAGACACAGACAGAGAAGCGTCGAGAGCAGCGGGTTGATATGGAGAGCAGCGAGATGGCGATGTGTTGTTTGGCCGGTTCCTTCGTGCAATCGCCACAGTCAGATTTCGGTGTCCCTCGTTCGCTGTCGCCTCATTCCCGACCCGACAGCAAATTTGTTACCAATACTGGAACGGGAAAAGAGTGAAATTCCCACTACACTCCGCAGCTCAGCAAGAAACTATCCTACATCATTGGTTGTTGTTCGCATGGGTTACGTACGGCCGCGAGGGCGGTGCGTTCTTACGCGGACGGTGACAACGCCCGTAGTTTTTCGACAAACTCCTGCTCCTCTCTCGCGGCAGTTATCGCCATTTCCCTGTTAGCCCACTTGTTCGTAGTACTCCCGACGGCCTAGGGGCGAGGAGCAAGGACACGGAGCAAGCGCGGGGCAGTTCGCAAGGTCCCTTCTACGAATGATGAGCAGAGCTTTTGATTGCGGTAACGGTCGCAGAAGTAGCTTGCACCTCCCGTTAGAGGTTGTGATTGTGCTCAGGTCGTGAGGTACATGCACCACTCATCAGGAAGTTGGAGTGTGCTCAATTGGCGAGGTACCGTGTGGCAGTTCATCGAAAGAGTTCGGGTGTAGCGGCAATGCGGAACTGCCTTGTTGCCTCTTCCGCAGCTTCGACGCGGCCCCGCTCGAGCGTGACTCAGTGGTAGGTACGCCACCAACCCTCCGACGCGATAAATTGCAGCGGCAGTTGTACATTCCGGAGTCTTGACGAGCTGATTGACACCCCCCTTCGAAAAGCCTACCGCCGTGTACAAGAGTCTGCTTAATTCCAATACCTCGTCGATTCAGTCTTGTATTTTACCAGTAGCGGTTACGGTGTAAGAGAGATCATTCAAGGGAAAACCGAAACGCTTTTTCCTTGTCCCGACCATGAGAGATATCGCACGGTACGGTGTTAACAGAAAAGCGGGTCGAAGAGAGTGCTGTCCGACCCCCTCTTGAACCGCAGCAACTACAGACTGTACCTTGACCCAAGGGGGTGGAACGAATCCGTCCGACCAAGCCACGGCGTCCACGTCGAGGCCCCACTTCCGCATTTCTCGCTTCTCGGTAGCCGACAGCACCACCGTTTCTGGCCTTGGGTGGAACAGGTCACTCTACATAGGGTTGCAGGATTCGCGCGACAAGCACGTGGGAGTTGATAGGATGTCACAAGCGCGCGCCAGCCTGCAAACCGTGTGCTTGGTCTCAGGGTGGCTCTGGTCTACAGCTTTCGCTTTTCCTAACGCTCCGTTTGTCTCTTCACAGTAACGCATGAAAAAACGCATCCACTAAGGCATCGAGGCCCCCCTCCAAGACTTCCTGGGGAGCTCTCTCTCGCGCGCGTCTGCTAAGGAAGCAAACAGCCAAGGGTCTTTCGCTCTCCTCAAAGGGCGCTTGCCTGATCTCGGGCGGCCTCTTTCCTCATGTCTATACCCTTCGCCGGAACGGGGAACAGGGTCCGGAAGGGTCGGAGCTTCGTCGGGCGAGACTCCTCTCGGCGTCTCTGCGCACGCTTGTGGGTGCTGAGGCAAGGCTCCGACCGCGATTTCGTCAGCGCTCTCCCACTTTTCGGCTATTCTCGGACATGAGAATCGTTTTTGGGGTAGTTCAACGAGAGGTCGTACACGAGTCCGGCGACGTGTGAGGCTTTTCGAGTGCTACATTGTTGTACCAGGAGCCCGCGGGAGAGTGAAATTCACCATTTAGTTCCAGGGTTTCCGGGTTGGCAGATGCAATCAACGCCAGATTCGTAGGAACGAAATCGGATGAAACTCAGTCAGTGTTGGTAACAGAAAGCAGCTATCTTGCGACAAACGCTACATTCGGGAGGCTTTGAGAAATCCAGCGAATACAGGGGTGAGCGTATAGGTTAAGCTCCCGCCCACGGCCGTCAAATGTCTGTTTACGTTTGGCTCCCAGTGATCGCCCGCCGGCTAGAATCCAGCGTGCTCTCATGTGTGACGCATCAAATATTGATTCGGGTCCACAAACCAAGATGAGCGTCCGCTTTCAGACGTGGAGCATCTAAACCATCCCACAGACACGTGCACACGGCAAAACACCGACTTAACGTCTTCTTTGTCATTGGTGCCAACAGCCGGATATCACAGCCGAAACTTTTGAAGCAACACACCCGTACACACGCGCACACAAGGCTGCCGTGCGCGGTGCCCATTCTGCTTCTCAATGTTACGGGCCTCACCTGGAATTCCGCTTCGCTCCTGGCATCCCTCGCAAGCCAGTCGGTTCTCGTGCTGGAGCCAATTGGTAGTTGATGTATTAGCATGCACTAGCCGTCAGCATCGCGGCAAACGCGACTGCTATAATTCTGGCACTATCATTGGTGTCAACGTTTGGCCACAAACTTGGCCGAGCGAGACCGCCGCGTCGTACCCAACACAGATGAGTATCTATCGAAACGAGGCACGAAGGGAGCCTTCGACCGGACAGATCGCAGATGATGAGAAGTGAGAACCAGTTCCACGCCCGTTGTTGATTCATTGACAGATAATCTTCACGTACCAAGTGGAATGTCTTCGACGACAAGCTACAGCGTTTCGCAAAACTCGTGCACGACTATTCGTCTCACTTGGGTTTATCGCCGTCGAAGAATGTGACCGCGAATATGTCCAATCCATCCCGTGTTGTCCTTCGTTGTTTCGCCCGTCGCCGCGGGCGCTGTTCTTGTTCTCGCTGCTCCTCGTCGGCCTTGGAGATTTCAGCGGTGGTAGAGCCGAGGAACAAACTCTGAAAGGTTGATTGAGTTAATCGAGACACACCTCTCCACATGTGTTCGTTGCGATGTCCAGACATCATTCTTCTCCATCTAACAGTATTTCACGTTCTTCTTTTAACTGATCTTATCACTACGTAGTCAGGAGAATCGTCAGGCCGATCGTTCGTTTGGTGCGGCACACCACACCACCACCGCCGCCAAGAACAACAAATACTGGGTAGAGCAGTGTTAGGAGTTTAGATTGCGCTGCATATATTTCTTGGCCGGGTACACGAAACCCAAATTTAGCAATGCATGACAGTTTCCCATAAATGACTGGAGTTCACAACGGAGGACACCCTTGCGCGGAACGAGACCAGGCACCTCGCCGTAGAGCAGGGCCATCGAAGGAAGAGACATGACGGCTGCTACTTATTGGTGATACCAAAGAATGTCATCCACTTGGGGGGTCGCGATTCGACCCTCCCCAATAGAGATCTGTGTCGCCGAATCTGACGTGGAAAGTGAAGCACGTGAGATTCTACGTAGAACGCAGGAGTTCAAAATTTCTCGCCGCTACGCGACACCGCAACAGGCCCACACTCTCTGTGTCAGCTGAAACCCGCGATAGGCCAATCTCTGAATTTCTCCATCCACAGACTTCCAACGGGAGTTCTGGCGGGTGCTCTAGAAAGCCCACAACCTTGGCTTTTTGCATTCCCAGCAGTTCTCAGTCCAAACCGGCCTCCCCAATACGGCCACGCCGTCAAGTACACAGGGGTTGGATCGGTTGAAGCTCTAGGGTAGGTCGGCCGTCGGGGCGCATTAACACACCCGCATCGACAAAGGCCTCGTGAAACCATCTCTAGTACCACTGAGGTGTGTGTACAGGCCCGCGTCGTGCTTTTTCGATAGCGTGTTGGACTGCGCGGGCTACAGGGACGCGTTGTGGAAGGTCTGCTCTGGCCGGTGGTTGCGCGGGGGGGGGGCTGCGTGGGAGGTATCCCCGCTGTAGAGGGATGCCTGATTCTCTCTTTTCGCATCATGCTACCTAAAAAAAACTACTTCGTACACTTTTGGATCAAAGAAGTCGCACGCAGCCAGCATCCACACGTTCTTCACACCAAACGGTAGCTGAGCACCACAGCTACTCGTCCCTGCTTTCACTACTTCAACCGGTGCAAAAGCAAAAGGCGGCGCAGTCTAAACTCCTAACACTGAGAGTATAGACCATTTGCAACAAGGAGATCCATGTGAACATTTTCGGACTTTCGGTGGCCTCTTCTCGACACAAGTCTGAAATGGTCGCGCATAGCTGTGAAAATCCAATCAAGCACTGCTTGCACCCGACAGAACCACTAAGACTTTGTATCTAATATACGTGTGCTGAGCCCAGCCAAATACCACCTTATGAACCCGCCCATCCCCTCGTGTAACGCAGAACATTGCTTCTGGAAACGCTGAATAAATCGAAACACCATTTTTTACCGTCATCGACGTGAAGGCAGGATGCAACCTTTCTTGACTAAGGTGGGACATGAACTATGTACGAAAAGAGGGCCAATACAGTCTATTTGTCGTAGAGTCGCTCAGCTGAAAGACGGACAACCAACATGGCGACTCCAGCAGTTAAATACCTGTTGGATGGCCCATTCCACCGCCGCCTTTTCCTTGGCCACTTTTGCCGCGAAGGCCCTCTGCTCTGCAAACGTTGTCGTGGCCGCGGCAGCCATGGCTGCTCAGCAGAGCCCTTCCTGCGGACAGTTTGTACAGTAGTCGATAGTGTTCGTTGCAGGCGGGTGTGCGGCAGTTTTTTTTTTTGGCGAACACACTTCTGGGCAGCCTGAGTGCAATACCACAATTGTGCCGACATGGTCGGTACGATCCGTGACTCAGAGTAAAGGATGCGTGGAGCGTGTCGAACAACTTTGGCGATTGAACTTACCCGCCAAAGCTTGCCTCCAAACCGTTGTCTGTGTTGCACATGGGTTTGACGCACTGGGGATATGCACAACAGCAGTAGTGAGTTCTGCACGCGACTGCCACACCAACAGAAACTTAACCCAACTCAATAAGGCCTACAGCATATACTAGTGACTCGAACAGTCTTTCAGTACATGCACGTACCTCTCGATCTAGACAGAGCAGAGGTCCCCGCAGCAGCAACTGCACTCCAGCGCACGCCAATCAACGTGCTAACGGAACAGGTTTGCTTCGAGGTACACCGGGACAAAACACTGCTGTAGTCTTACTTTTCGATTTCAACGAGCCACGCTAGTGCACATTCAACAGTTACCTACATCAGCTTATCTCCACACGACCGTGTTGTTGGGGCCAGGCAGGTATGAGAACTACTGCGATAGCTCCAACTCCTGCGCCTAACGCCCAACCTCCGCATGCGGCATGCGGAGGCGAAATCGCGCCGCAACCTGTACCGCTTCGCGCGATCTCTTCCTCCACCCCTGGCGACGCCGCTAAAAAAATGATACAACTCCCCGCTTGCCCGCCGCTCGCCGCTCCGCCAGAGCTGACCGCCGCGGTTGCTCGTGCCTGAACAAGATTACTGGACGTCTTGACCACCTTTCTCTATCGTTGCAAAGGGACGACCTCTGAGGGCAACATCGTATTTGCTCACCTGTTTGTTATACACAAGCTGAAACCTCCGCTAGCCTTTTTTACCAACACCAGAAGAGATACCGTCTGCGGAAAGAGACTAGGATGCCGCAGCCCTCCCCAAGTACAGGGCTCTTGGAGGAAGCCCAGCAGCAAGCAGAGGACGCGGCGGCGACGCTGATTGAGCGGAAGTTCAAGGAGCCGGCTAATTTGGAGGTGATGATGACGCGGAACTTGCTCTGCATTGCACAGAAACGTACTACAGCAAGTATGACACTGGCAGAAGTTCTGTTCCCGATCTGTGTGTTCTGCACATACCGACAGGAACACTTTCCCTGCTGTTCTTCCTTATCCTATCGACAATATGTGTGCAACGCATAGCATTCACGAGATTTCAAGTGTGCGTTGCTCATAAAATAAGCTGCCACGCACTCACGACTGAGCAACGCGCCAACAGATTGAACACAGCAGTAACATACGTATTTAGTTTGCCCCCGGCTGGTCTGCGTGCCGACCTGCCGAAATGCTGTGTACCATCCGCGGTATGTATGCGTACCATGACCGGCGGTTCAAACGTTCAAACACCCTCTCAACGAGTAGGGGAGCCTTCTCCTAGGCGCGGTTTAAGAAGAGCCCGAGGACGATTCGTTCTTCGCCAAATCACGAGCCTCAAATGTCTGAAAGTGTTTGTTGCGGGTGAGAGGCTATATATCGCAGAACACCGATCATGTATTTCTTGTGGTCGATCGGTGTGAAGGATATCCCGCCAGGTTTTCGGTTGCGTCTCAGCTCCATGTACTCATGTCGTTACCGGCTGTCGTCAGTTCCGTTACGGTTCTCAAGGATTTCCCGGTGCCCTTCCTGAGGAGGCACATGTAGCTGGGTCGTGGACGTGGTGTAAGGCGATGAGGCACGTCCCCCGCTTTGGTGCCAGCGACTTTCCTGCTGTCGCACACCTTGACTGACCGGGAGGGTACAAGGGGCGACGTAGAACATGCCTCCCCGCCAGCGAACCGTGGCACGCCGACTAACACGCCAGCTCTTCGTACTAAATTATTGCTGCCGGGAAAACTAGCCACTACCCGGGGGTACCGCGGTGATTGCGTCTATGTGTTCGTCCCATCTACATGCTCTGACGCCAATCTACACACCCTCGTTGTTGTGTTGTTGTAGGTGTGTTCGGCTTATCAGCCGCGGGGTCGCACAGGAACTTTTCTTTTACGCACGGATTACAACGTGGAAAGAATTGTAGCCGTGCTGGGTGAGAGTCTACAGCGGTTCGATGCCAAGAGGACCCGTTGGCCCCTAACCCGTACCATGCACCAACGTAGGCGCCACGGAAGGGTTGCGAAACTGAAGAGTTATTCTTGTATGTTGTACAGAAGTATTGCGTCTCCTATTGCGTTTTCGAAACTCAAAATTAGTAAGTCCCAAAGAATCTACACCCAACCAACAAGTAATAAATATCTCCTTTTGTTCAAATCACCCAAGAAATGTCCAAATACAGTACCATGTTTATTTTGACGCGAAAGTCTCAGCTCGTCGTATGTTTGGTCTTCCGGCCTTCTCCGCCTTTCGAACCCACTTGCCGCGCTCCGTCATTAACAACGCCAGGATATCGCTGAGATGTGTGCGGATTTCCGCAAGAAACTTACGGCGACGGAGAGTCAGCTGTCTTCCGTCGTGCGCTCCCGACTGGACGGCGTGAAGCGAGCGAGGGATCTGATCGACGATAACGCCAGCCAGATATCCAAGCTGCACGGCCAGTTCGCCAAGATGGAGGAGTGAGTTTTTTTTTCTCTCTTTGGTCTCTGCTAGCTGAGGACCGTCGGTGGTGGGGGTCTGTCTACGCCGAGTTAAGGTCGTTGATTCTAATGTATATCTTCGGAGGATCTTCCTTATCGTGTCGCCGAAAAATTCCATCGTTAACGACTCCTACACCTCTGGTCGGACATTTTTTCGTACCGCCTGCAATCGCACCTTTTGTATTCTGTGTACCAGGTAATGTGTGTGTCCGTTGATTGTAGCATACTTTCGAGAATCCGTTGGTTCCTACTGTACGGTACGTCCGTACATCTCTTTCTCAGAGGGAGGACCTTCTGTCTCGCGTTTCAACCGACCAGGCGTGCAAACGATCGCGCCTCTCTTGTGTTTTTTTTTTGTTGTTGTTCGTGTGCGTGTGCGTCCGCTGTTTGAAGACTGTCGTAAACTCCCAATAACTCGTTTGCCTCCTACACCTCTACAGGACCTGCCTTGCTGTGTCATTCGACGAGGCGTGTATACCTCAAGTTGACCTACCTGTCCCTGTGTCTTTCATCTGACGCAATCAATCGTACCTCTTTTTGCTGTTGCTTTGTGTGTGTCCGGTGTTTGTTTCGAAGGCTTTGCCGGGAAGAGGACGGGCGGGGTCTTTTCGGGAAGTACCCTCACCTGAAGAAGCTGCACCACGCGAGGACTAACCTGGCGGTCACGTCGCAGCTGTCCGAGTTCTTCTACACCATCCCCCAGAGAGCCGAGGGCCTGATCAAGTGAGATGGGTGCTAGAGGTTTGCGCACTTTTTCGTTGTTGGTGATGGTGGCGGCGGTTTTGGTATTAAGGTTGCTGTTGTTGTCGTTGTTGTTGGTGGTGTTTTGTTGTTGGCGGTTGTGTTGTTTTTGTGTTGTCGTCGTTGTTGCCGTTGGTGGTGGTTGTGGTCGTTTTGTTGTCGATGTTGGCGGTGGCGTTGGTGTTGTTCTTGCGTGAGATTCGAAATGCTTGGGGCGACAGGCTACGATACTGTGACGCTGTAACCCAGGTTTGCCTCTGTCTACCGCGAGGTGCGCTTCTTTCGACGTACTGTACGAATCTAAGAACAGCCGCGTTCTAGCAACAAATCGCAGAATAATACCAAGCACAGTTGTTTGCAGCCAAGGGCAACACCTTGACCCGGCATCAAACCACCCAGGCTCCAGAAGGATTGGACGTTAACGTCGTTACCCCGCATCCATCAACCTTGACGCCTAATGTGCCAGACAACTAAAAGAGCAGCCGAGTCAGCTCAAGGAGGTTTATCTGGAAGTCAGCAGGCTGGAGTACTGGCGCGCAAGCTTTATGAAGGCGCTAAAGGTGAAGAACCAGTGCAAGGAAACTTTGACGGGGGGAGCTAGGACGGGAGAATAGGTCTGGAGGGGGGGGGGGGG